GGTTGCCAGGGTGTTGCTATGTAGTTGCTAGGCATTTCTGGGGTGGTTGCTAGATGGTTGTTAAGGCTTCTAGGTGGTTTGGGTGGTTGCTAAGTTGTTCTGGGTGATAGGGTGCCAAGTGGTTGATGGGGATATCTGCAGGGTTGCCAGGGTGTTTCTATATAGTTGCTAGACATTTCTGAGGTCGCTGCTAGGTGGTTGTTAGGGCTTTCTATGTGGTTTAGGCAGTTGCCAGGGTGTTGCTATGTGGTTGCTAGGCTGTTCTGGGTGATAGGGTGCTAAGTGGTTGATAGGATTTTCTGCATGGCTGCCAGGGTGTTTCTGTGTGGTTGCTAAATGGTTGTGAAATGGTTGATAGGTAGTTGTTAGTGCTTTCTAGGTGATGTGGTTGGTTTCCAGGGAGTTACTACTGCATGTGATTGCTAGGGTATTCTGGTTAATTGCTTTCTGCCCCAAGTCTCTGTGAAATTCTGATCCTTAGATATGGCTCATGTCCTTCCTTTAATGTAGGTCTAAAAGATTGTTTGCTTGTTTTCTTCCAATCAAAAATCACAAGTTCAATCACTTATACAGAAAATAATTGTCATGTCTTTCCTCAAGTTAATTTCAGTCTATCTTTAATGTTCATTAAAAAAAAATTCGAACCCTACGTATGAGCAGTAGTATTAGTTATGATTGCCTCAGCAATCACCACTACCTATTAAATATTTTAATGCTTTTTTTAAAGCACAAATACATTGAATAACATTATAAATCAGTGTAATGAGTTGTAGATCTCATGTTGAGGCCATGCGGTGTGAACTGATGTGATCTGTGTTTTGGGGCTTCTCTGGTTGCACAGAATTGTAGTGGTGAGTGGTATGAAAATATGTACGAACACTGGCCTCGTCATTTAATTTATTTGTGTATCACAGGAGATTCTCCATGCAGGAGTAAATGAAGTGATATTGACATTACTGTGGTAATTACTTCAGAGACCTACTTCTCCGTCTGCAGTCAAACTGTGCCTCATCAAATGTTCATGCCGAGACTATTTGCAAATATGATTTTACAATGATTTGCTCCTTAATATTTTATGTCAGCGAATTACAACTGGCTTATGTGTAATTAGATTTTCGTGGGTTTATGTTTGTCATGATGACCATAACCTGCAAAGACTTATATAGATATGCGCAATTTAACACCTCTCACTTTGACTGAAATGGGAGTCTGTTTGTTTAAAACTGGATCAAATCTCTGATAACCTTTTCATGATAACTCGTGTCATTCAGTGACAAGCAAAACAAAAACCTATTTTAAAAGCATAAAAGTCTGTGTCACATTTACAATGTCCTATTTTTATTCCCACAGCCAAAGCAGAGCTGGAGCTCCAGGAAAAACAGCTCGCTGACATGCAGAGCATGTAAGTTGTCTTACTGTGTTAATCGTGCCAAGTCTCTTGTTCACTTATAACTGTGTCATATTGGTTATGTCTCCTCTGAGTGTGTGTCTATGTTTGTGCATTAGCATCAGCCTCTCTATCTCTCTCTTTCTTTACCTCTGCTTTTCCCTTACTTGTGGTACTAATGGTCCAATTCACTGAGATTGATTGACAGTTAGTAGATTGTCTCCTTTAAAAGGGGCTAGTATTCAAAACCTTGGCTCTTGGAGTGGAAAAAATAACAAATATGACACATCAATTAATTTTAAAGGTCTTTGTGCTTATTGTCTGAATGTTGCAGTTTCTTCCAAGTACTAGTTTTAAGCATACTAAAAGATTGCTGTGGGCAAAAACAAATTACGCTTGTCATTCTTTATGTAAGAGCATTATTTTTATAAGCTAAAATTTCCACATTTCACATGCTTGAAGTAAGCTGATCAATTTCACAATTCCTCAGAGTAAACTTTCTAATCTTATTTTGTAATATTTTGTTCATAGTGTCATGCTTTTCTTTGAATGCTTTCCAGTTTTCTGGAGCTGAGCATGTTTTTCTCGGTCAAGCCTAAGGCGGGAGAGAAGGAGGTTTCACCAAACACATTCTTCACAGTGTGGCATGAGTTTTCGTCAAATTTTAAGGAGCTGTGGAAGAGAGAGAATAGATGCCTACTGCAGGAGCGGTGAGGAATAAAATGCCTTTGTTGCTGCTTTGCTTGTCTGATTGTCTTCACTGCAAGTCAAGTCACCTTTATTTCTATAAAGTTGTAAAGCAGCTCTAAAATATCTTGACTTGAGCATTATCTAACTCAAGTCAGTCACTGCAATTCATTGAATTTAATTTAAATTTTTTTTGGTTGAAAGCTGCAGAAGAGACTTTCAGACAAGCTCGAGAGAAGGCTACCTACAGCGTAAAACCAAAACATGCATCAGGGATAGTAAGTATTTAAAAATCCCTCTATTCACAATCAAAAGCAATGAATAACGGTCTCTAACAGTGTAGTTTTTCTGTTTCTTCTCTCACTCAGAAAGCCAAGCTGGGACAGAAGACGTGAATTTCTGCTGTACCGAATCTAACAAAACTCCTTGTTTCTTTCTTCTTCTACTTAACAGTTACTTCAATATAATAAAAATAGCCATGAGGAAGTTTGCATTATGAATGTGAACGAGGTCAGAATTTTGTCATTTCTGTAGTTTCATATGAAGACAATCAAAGCTTAAAGTGCTCATGTTATGATCATTTACAAGTTCATAATTTTATTTTTGGGGTCTGCTAGAACACATTTTGATTAAAAAACAATTCTGACTTATGTTTCTCATTCTGTACATTGCTGCAGGACCACTATTTTCACTCTCTGCCTAAAACACTCTCTTTTACTTCCTATCTCTTTAAACCCCACCGTTCCAAAAAGCCCTGTCTGATCTGATTGGTCTGCTGGTCAACCGTTTACAGCATGTCAGAAATGTACAGTTTTCTTCAACTATGGCATCGGTATTGGAAGTGCATACAATAATTTTTTTGTTTTGTTTTGTTTTTTTTGCCCTTGCAGTGAAAAAAACAGCGTCTCCTTGACTTAATGAAATCACTTACCTTACTAATTGTTCTTTGAGGGTGGGCCAAAGCAAGCCAGTATATGCAAATGTAGCATTAGCATTATACAAATGTATATCATGGTGACATAGTAGCTAAGTCATGGAAATAATGGCAGGAAAACAAATGAGGCGTTCCAGGCAATTTTTTTTAGTTTTTTTGTTATAGAGATTAAAGGGGTCCTATTATGCTTTTTCTCTTTTTCAACTTTAGTTAGTCTGTAATGTTGCTGTTTGAGCATAAAAAAGATCTGCAAAGTTACAAAGCTCAAAGTCCAATTCAAAAGGAGATATTTTATTTATTTATCACTTTTCAAAAACTGCAACGAACAACTCGTTTGGACTACAACGCATATTTTCCGGGATTTGTGATATCACAAATACCGACGAATGGGACGAGACCTGGTTGAGCTGCACTAGAGAAGGCAACGAGCGTTATCCATAGACTGTATAGGGTGTTATCACTATGTCGGAGACGCAATAGTTTTCCCAAGGCAGATGAACTTAGAGGGGTTACAATCATCCGGGTTTAAATCGCTCTCAAATTGATTTGATTTTGACGCAATATTTACACTGAAGCTCGCAGGCGGCTCTGGTAAGGGGCAGGATATTTCCCGACAAAACAAAATCAAGACTTTGTAAAAGAGCATAATAGGACCCCTTTAACTCTCTTTTTTGTGTGGACTTTGTGCTTTGTAACTTTGCAGATCGTTTACATGCACAAACAGCTATTACAGACTAAAGGAAAGGTAAAATAAATGTAAAAAACTGTGCACTTGAGTGAGTTGAGTGACTGATATCTTTGTTATGGAACACACGTGTTGGTTCGCAGTGAGTTCAGTTTTAACGTACAAGTTTACTTTAATTTATTTCGAGTGACTGACACTTTTAACATTGAATAAAGCACATAATCATTCCCTGAGATTATCACTGTACCGTTCCTAAAATAGAATCATGTGTAGCTTATTGTCACGTGTCGCAGTCGGGGTGGTTAGAACAAAAACTACATGGAAAAGATACTTCCTCATAAAAATATTAATACTGACAAATCTAATAATTGAATCTGCAGTTAGGGAAAGTGGAGAGAAGAGATCCAGTCTGGGAATGAGCAGGAGCAGTTGATTTGCATGGCAGACATGGAGATCCAGATTTTTTGTTCATTTGTTTTTAATATTCATTTGTTTTTAAGTTCTTCTGTGTCTAAATGCAAAACTGTTCATAATTGTTTGAATAAAACAGACTACTGGGGAAAAAATCTAAATATTCATCTTGTGGCCATCTTATGATTATTTTAACAAAAGCAACAATAATAATTGTAATAATAATAACAATTGTATATATATATATATATATATATAGGTCAGTGGCCCTTGGCTTGGTATTGTTGGCAGAATTCGGCCCTCGGCGAAAACTAATTGAGGAACCCTGTTTTATGTAGAATAGTTTCTGTTTTTGCTTCAAATTTCGAAATTATACGGTCTAATTTAGATTAAAAACGACTCATGCTGCATGTATGCTGCATCTTTGTTTGGATCATGATTAAAATCCAATGGTTCTAATTTTAAATTGAAAGCACAGACAAAGCCTTAGTATGTTCATATTAAGATATTTATTTTATTCGTGTAACTTGTTTGATTTGGGGTTTGATTTTCACTTTTTAAAATTTCTATTTAGTTTTGTTATATTTCAATTTCACAAAGAAATGTGCAGCAATAGCCTAATAAAACCACACCTTTCCATTTACTGTATAATGTCTTCACTCTCATTTAAAAAAAAAAATAAAATAGTGAGAAAATCGAATCGTGAAATCAAAATCGTGAATCGAATCGAATAGTGAGTTGAGTGAATCGTTACATCCCTACATTTAAGAAAATGGAATAACTGAATAAAGAAATGACAATCTCTGGATACGTTTGACTCTGACCTGTATAAAGTCATAAAATAGTGTATTTTGGTGATTCATATATGAAGAGTCACAGCCATCTTATTCTTCAAATGTAAATGTTATAATAATCTGCATCCATTGTTTCCTCTACAGGTGTTTATATATCTCAGCCTATGAAATTTACACAAAGTTGAGTGATATGTTGTGAGATTCTCTGTTCCAACTGAACTGTAAGGTGTTTAATGAAAGGTTGATAAACATATGCAAATATTAAGACTTATGCCATTATTATTTTGTGTGCACAGCTGTTGTCAGTAGTTCACTGTGTCCAATAACCTTTAATTTATAAATTTTTCAATTAAAGAAGCTGACAGTTTTGTATTTCTTGTGTGATCATTGCTGTGTTATTTCTCTGTGTGTTGCACTAAAAAATGAACTGAAGCAGCTGCCATATGAATGTTATGTAATTTCCTATTGGAGATATTGGAGAAAACAATTACAAACACAAAGGTGCATAGAAAATACAAAAAAAGAAAGAATCAAAAATCATACTGTAATGTGAAATAATAGATTTATTTTTAGAAGACATGTTTATTATATATTTTTTATATTCATAGATTTTCTATGGTTGCTTTGTCATATAATGTCCTTTATCTACACAGTTTTTGCTATTTTGTTAAATATTGTCATTAATGAAAACTTGTCTGACTTTAAGGTAAAGATTTAAACCATTATGAATCTCAGTTTATGTTGTGCACATTGTGTCTCATCATAACAATGGTAAGGCTCAAACTCTTTGCGGGCTTGATCAAAGTCAGCCCAGATTGGATGAACTGAAACCAACAGCATAATTTCCATTGGATGCAGCAAAGCTACTGGCAGCTCCAAGTCAAACTGTAATGTGAAATAATAGATTTATTTTTAGAAGACATGTTTATTATATATTTTTTATATTCATAGATTTTCTATGGTTGCTTTGTCATATAATGTCCTTTATCTACACAGTTTTTGCTATTTTGTTAAATATTGTCATTAATGAAAACTTGTCTGTTAGACTTTAAGGTAAAGATTTAAACCATTATGAATCTCAGTTTATGTTGTGCACATTGTGTCTCATCATAACAATGGTAAGGCTCAAACTCTTTGCGGGCTTGATCAAAGTCAGCCCTGAAACCAACTGCATAATTTCCATTGGATGCAGCAAAGCTACTGGCAGCTCCAAGTCAAAATCTCCCAAAAAACAACCCCCCCCCCCCCCCCCCCCCCCTTTAATTTCCTGTCGATAAGGTCCACAGTCACCCAGCAACCTTTCATGTCTTCTTCTGTCCTTCATTAGCGCTGACATATACAGCGGCTGGGTAGGTAAGACGAGATGGTGAAGATAGATGGTGGTCAGACAGTTTTCACTGTTCTCAAGTATCAAGACTAATAGATTGCAACAGTGCCCTCCCAATATTTCAGCAGCCTTGGTTCCGAAAGTATTTCTTCCATTCATTTTTCATACAGGGATTTTTAAAACGTTTTTGTTAAAGAGTTAAACCAACCAGCTAAGAAGTGAATAATGACATTACAAACTAAAATAAAAAAATAATAATAATTAAAAAACATTTGAAAAAGGCAAAGCTACAAGACTGTATACTTAATTTTAACGAGAAAAAGAACTACAATCCCAATGGCATAATTTTACTTCCGGAACCCTGACTGTTACACTCTACAGAGAATCAGCATTGCTGAGGTAAAGCAGGAGACTGCTGGAATACAGACGCTCCATGTTTTGTTAAAGAAAAGCTTTCAAGAGGTCAAAGGTCAAACTCTTCACTTAAAACAGATTAATGTTATTTACTGTTTCAGTCTTGTATGTAATTTAACTCTCAGCTTCATTATATTTGTCAAAAAAGAAGAAAAATCCATCTTTGTGTTCCATCGCTGCTCGGCAGCTATTAAGCATTCCTGGGTAGCATACTTGGTACAGTCCAGACATAATGATGGTGGCCAGTCTTCTGATTAGCTGTTGTCTTTGGCACATTTCACACATTAATTGTTGGGTGGCCCCAGTTTTTCCAAAAAGAACACTCTATAGCATTGTTTCATATGTGTGCCTTCTCAGTATGCAGCATTGACATTAACAGACACACATTTGCACTGCTTGATCCGCTGCACTTTTCGTTGTCGGTACGGTGGCTGTAGCCCAGGACAGTGAAGCCGTACAGTGACTGTGGTTATCCGGCTTGGCCGACAGAATGCACAAGACTGGAATGAAGTGTTGTAGTCTGGCATGGACGCTGTTTTTCGACTTCGATGTGAGGTTTGAGACGTCAGGTGGCGTGGGATGTAGAAGGAGTTACACTGGCCGTAGCAGAACCTGTTGATGACCGTTCGGCTCAGGCAGCCCTCCAGACTCACCGTTTGACGTAATGGCTGTGTTTTGCACCAGTCGCTCTTCAGGTACTTCCTCTCAGTGACCACCAGGGCCTCACGACTCGACGACAGCATGTCGTGTTTGCCTTTCTGTCGTCGTGCAGATGTATGCTGGGGCAATGACACAAGTGTGTGGGTTGGTGATGATAAATCATTGCCTTTTAGCTTGTAAGGGGAGGGGATGGAACCTTGGGGGCGTGGCCTCTTGGTCTCTGTGGATACAAAAAGGGTCCATGCCAAAATGGCAGGTATTGCCAGCTTCCAGAACATCCTGAGAAAAGATTCAAAATAGGGAGAAACTTTAATGCTTCTGTTAGGGATTTGAATGTATACATTGTCAAATTAATAGTTTGTCATCATACTGAACTATGTCCAATTTGTAAACTTTGCATTTTATTCACTATAACCAACATTTACTCAGGCAAAAAGAAATCAGGCAAGACTGGTTAATTTGCATGATTTTCATTCACTTACCACATGAAGCATAGATGAAAAACTAGTTGCCATAACCAGATTTTTTTACTATAAAAAAACCCCCCCAAATTTAAAAACAAACTATGGTGGCCGAGAGAGCTCAATGTGCTGCAACTTAAGAAAACACATGCAAATAGAAAAAGCACCAGCAAATTAAGAAAACATCTGCATCAGTTTGACTAACAGTTACATATGTGGTGCAAATACTCACAAAACAACCAAATACAGAAACATGTCAGCAACATTTAACTGACCAAAATTAACTAGTACATAAGAGCCAGTGCCAATTCCTGGAAAATGGGATTCCCCTGCCCAGATTCAAGACGTTTCACACTAAAAAGAACCAAGTCATAAGATTCGTTCACTCGTTCTGGAGTCATACTACACTGTTCACGCTGTATGTTTTTGATTCACTAAAACGATCCCATTCAAGATTCATTCGTTAGGATTCAGCTCGTCGGCGGGCGCAATGACATGTAGCACCATTTCGCATCGGGCGGGCGTCCCGAGTTCGAGTCACGTCTCGCAGACCTTTCCAGATCCCGCCCCCGACTTTCTCTTTAATTTCACTTGCTGTCCTATCTAAATAAAGGCATAAAACGCCAAAAAACAAAGGAAACTGGTCACGTGTTATTCCCATGGATATCAGCCTAGGCGAAACATGTAAGCACTGTTTACAGATGGTCATTTGTAAAACATGGAAACAAACAGTCTAGTACTCATTACTTGTAATTTAGCCTTGCAAAACGTGATAGTATCAGATATTACAAGTTATTCCAAGGTACAGCAAATGATTAATTTGAGGTATTAAGTACATATCCATAGTTTATAATGACATAGGCCAATCTATACAACCATGGCGATAACATGGTACTTTGTGGAATTTGAGGTTGAATAGACCGGCGACTACAGTTTTACAGCAGTTTGTCTATTCTTAAAAAGCAGCAGTTCTTATGTAATGCTGATAAAGTTAAACCCTGTCTTTGGTCTGCACTCTCAATCTTGTTTATCATGGCGCCCTCTGTCAGTTTTGCTTTAGATAACCCTCTGATAACCTCGGACATTTCTGATTTTCTACAACCACTGGCATTGTCTGTTTCATTCATGTTCTCTCTCCTCTCATGGCCAACAACCTCTTTCATCTTGTCTGGAAATAAGGCACAGTTGTATTTCATGTATTTAAAAGACAGACTTTTAATAGAATTGTTTTTATGTCCCTGTGGCTTTTTTTAACGGATATGGATGTTTTTCAGGACAGACCAACCAGAAGAGCTCACAGAAAGCCTGGGGCTAAACAACACAAGAAAGTCACATAAAGAATTATTAAATTCTTTTTCACATGATAAAAAAGAAAAGTTGAGCAACATTCAAGTCAAGAAAACATTAAACTTTCTCTAAAATGTAGAAGCCATACATGCACAAAAATAACAATCCTGATCAGTAAGGTTTATGTTTAAACATTTAATTTTTTCAAAAAGAGGTACCTTTTGATTTTATTTAAGGAATTGTTCATCCAAAAAAATTTATTTATAATTTATTCACTTTCACGTCATTCCAAATCTGTATGACTTTCTGAACTAAAGCTTTGAAGCTTGAAAAATGATTCAAAGCACCACATTCAAACTCTTCTGGAGCCATGAACATGGCTTTTTGTGAGAAGCAGATTCAACTTTAAGGTGTTTTTCACTGAAAATCATTGTATATTCATAAGAGTTCTGATTCATGAACAAATTGTTCCTGAGTCAAATCTTTTTAGTGAATCATTAATATGGTTTGCAAACCCCATCTGAGTGATTCATTTACAAATTAAACTGATCTGATTCTCCAGCTCAATTTACTGACACGGTAATTGCAGCTCACTGGAGTTTGATTTATTTTTTATTTCAATATAAATCCATTTCTCACATTAAGCTATTGTATGACTTCAGAAGAGATCAAATACAGTATAACACACAAGTCATACAGAACCTTTTTATGATACTTTATGGTGCTTTTGCTCCTTTTTGAAGCTTGAAAGCTTCAGCCCAGATTCTTTGTGGAAACTGAATTGAAAAGAGTGACCAGTACAGTCTTCAGAAACTCTTCTTTGAAACACCACAGTTGGAGGAATGGCAGAGGATCCCCAAATTCAGGTGTGAAAAACTTGTTGCATCTTTCCCAATAAGACTCATGGCTGTATTAGATCAAAAGGGTGTTTCTACTAAATACTGAGCAAAGGGTCTGAATACTTAGGACCATGTGTTATTTCAGTTTTTCTTTTTTAATAAATCTGCATAAATGTCAACAATTCTGTGTTTTTCTGTCAATATGGGGTGCTGTGTGTACATTAATGAGGAAAAAAAATTAACTTAAATGATTTTAGCAAATGGCTGCAATATAACAAAGAGTGAAAAATTTAAGGGGGTCTGAATACTTTCCGTACCCACTGTATATACATGTAGAGGTTAACTGTCCCTTTAAGCTCTATAAATCTGGGTTACTGGGGAGAATTGGCTACGTCTGAGGCTACAGCTAACTGTGACTCACATGGTGGCAGAAGGTAATTTATTAATCATCCGTATCTCCCTCCGTCAGTGTCGCCGGCAGCCATTAATGCTGTTTACTTTTACACCAGTCCCAGAATGCTCATGCATATAAACAGGGCCGCCCATCAAAAGGGAATGCTACTGAAGTTACGAGGAAGTGGCCTTTATGTCTCTGGTGAGGCAGGGTTAAATAATGAGGGCTTTGCTTATGGCGGTGGTGAGATATGCAGGGGACAAGTAAACAGTGGGGAGAGCACCATGTGAACATTATTAGATCAGGATGTGGAAAGTTTAGCAGTTTTGGGTTTCTCTCATTTAGATGACCACAGGCTGACTAAGGTTTGGTTTACTGGTAGCTCAAGATTATGTGTGAAAAAACAGGGAATGTGACAGTGACTCAGAGGACTGTGACATACATACACAAACACACCACCAAGCTCACTTGTCTATACCTGAAACACATTTCAGATTGTGAAAGTGAATCACACACACACACACACACACACACACACACACACACACACACACACACACACACACAGGGGCTATAAATCTCCCCTGAGAAAATTGTGGTTTGGAGATAATGACAGTGTCTAGTTGGAACATATGCACGAAAATAAACACAAACCTTCTATCTCTCTCCCATCTGTCTGTGCATGAGAGAAAGTCAAAGACAGATCATCCACACTGTAAGAAATAGTGTGAATTTACAGCATAAACTTGACTGCAGTTTCTGCACTTCACTGCCATTTTTATATTAGTGTTTTTACACTTTATTATATTTGAACAGTATGCCGTGACTTCACAGTGATATAGCAGAATTGTGCTTGTAGTTCTTGTTTATTTATATATAATATAAATAAATACTTTTACTTGTTGATTCATTATACCAAAAACATCAACTAACATTAATGAATTGTACTTTTTTTGTAAAGTTTTTATGATTTACATCTTCTACCAAAATTTTACCATTCATCTCAATCGTTTATCAAATTTAATATTTTAGCAGATGAGCTATAGACTTAAGAGTCAATCACATCAATCAGCACAAAGAAAATTAGTTAATAGTAAATAAGGTCCCAGAAAAAATATATATAATAAACAATACTGTGCTATAATAACTTTTTACAGTATTTTGTAAGAGAAAATGGCCTAACTATTCATCCATCCATTCTCCAAATCCTCTGTAGGGTTGCAGAAGAGCTGAAGCGGGGAGAACATGCAAACTCCACACAGAATGGCCTCCTGGCTCAGATGGAACTCAAACCAGGGACCTTCTGGGTGACGTACCCACTAAGCTATGCCGCCAAATGGACTAGTAATGCTATTAAATCTGCTTTAAATAAAAAATCCTGGCAATATTTCACATTGCATTGTTGCTAATGGATTAAGATTGCCATATTGTGCATGACAAAAGAGGAAAAAAAAGGAAAAAATATAAATTGATTCATAAAAACATTAAGCTCCTTTCTAATTTCCAGGATTATTTGTGTTTTACCCTAAAATATTTTTAGGTATATTTTATATATTTATTTATTTTTTAAATATATATATATTTCACATCGAAACTTTGTTGCAAATCCTGTTCCCACAGAGCACAGCTGCTAAAAACGGTTCAAGCCAAATGACTGATGTAAGAGAATCAGTGTAGCATAAAAACAACCAAACCACAAGTACCAGCATTTCTCATTGAGCAGAAGCCAGCATGTGATACCAGCATTTGACCAACCACTTTCAAAACCCACAGCGAGCCTTCCCTCACACTTCCACAACATCTCCAACCCAAAACAACAGTCACACGAATCCACATGTCAAACCCTGAAGCTCTCTCTCTATCTCACACCCATACAAACATGATCGCACGCTGGTGCCACAAAATTATGAATTTGACAGGAGTTATCATCACAGCAGTTATGTACCTCCCTCTGCCACAAGACAATCTCTTTACAGAATACACACATACACACACACACACACACACACATGAGCTGAAGTGTGTTTCCAAAAATAATGACTGCATTCAAACAAATTTCCTCAAACATGTTCCCTTCTGCTATTGGTTGGTCAAATGGAAAAATTTATTGATTGCATCTAGCTGTTCACACTTTTGGGGGAATTAACCTACACTTGGCTTACTTTAGTTGTCTCTGCATGTTACGCTGGGATAGAAAAAGTATTGTAATGAAACTTGAAAAAAACAACAACTTGAAATTAGCATTACATTTCTGATAGAAGATACACAAATTGAAAGGGGAAATAAGCATATATAACAATAAATAAAAAAATATAGCCCTAATAAGTTAATGTAGCCCAATAATAGTAATAACAATAATATACAAATATTAAATTAAATGTTTAATGTTAATAAAAATGTTTTATCCATTTACGCAGGTTTGTTTACGCATTAAACTTGTGGCCACGAGAAAAATAGGCCTATGTCGTTCCCTCAACATAAGAAGTCGTGGCAACGAGAAATGGATGTCGTTCCCTCAACATAACATCTCGAAGCCACGACATAAGGATGTCCTTACCTCGACAAAACGATCTCATGGCCACGGCATAATATCACGTTTCCACGAGTTAATATGACGTTCCCATGAATTAATATCTCGTGGCCAAAACATATTATCACGTTCCCACAAGTTATGTCGTGGCCACGACAAAACTAAGTGAACAGACCATGTCACCTCCCGGGCACCGTACTATATAGAAAATATTGAAAAGATTATGATAATGAGAGGTTTCACCCACAAGTTGCCAGATGCATTCCTGAGTAAACACCAAGAAATGGTGGCAGGAATTAAACTCCACCACAGAACAAGCTGTCAAATGTTGCTTTTAATATTATGTCCACTTCCAGTTGTTTTTAAAAGATCTATATATTGTCACCCCAGAAATATTTACAGATGGGGGAAATTAGAGAGAGAGAGAGAGAGAGAGAAAGAAAGAAAGAAAGAAAGAAAGAAAGAAGTGGCCATCAACAAAGAGCCAAAATGCATTTAGGATAAGTAAGATTGTACAAAGAGGTTTCCAAACTCCAGATTAATCTAGATTAGATTTCAGCTAAAGCACAGGCTAAGCGTACAGTATGAAGTGCTTCCATGGTGTGATTTTTCACCATGTGGTATATGGGTATCTATATCAGTAAGAGTTGATGGAATATCTGTGGTTTAGGACTGTTGGGTCAGACTCATGTTACAATACATAGCTGAGGTTTGAAGTGTGGTTTAACAGTTCAACCATATCAGTGACTAAATTCTCCGATGGCTGTCTTCACATAATGCTTTGAGTCTGACTTCAGCTCCATCAAATACACACACACAACACACCGTCAAGTGTACCTTACTCAAGTATTTCCCATTCACATCCACTGCTGTTAATGTAGGATAATTACAGTTATAACAAATGAATCCTAACCTAATCTTATTATAATAGCATAAACCTTCCATAACATTAACCCTAACCAAACCCTACCCTAATCATAATTATAACTGTACTCTAGCCCTCAATCATAGGCACACACATTGCCATCATTCTCAATAGTACTGGTTTATGAAGGAGTGGTGGGGAATTAGAGGGTCACTGGGAAACTCAAAGGCTGGCAGGCTCAAATCCGCTCGGGTTAATGCGCTCTGAGGGGCAGTCACCACTTTGAACTGAGTTGCGGCTGATCCTTTTCTATGCCCTTCTTTATAATGCCAATAATGCCACATTCAGTCGCAAACACACACGCATGAGCAGGACTGAAGCCAATACTGTCACACAACCTCACATGTTCTCTCATGCACATGTCCCCATCATTAAACATTCACTGTCAGACTCACTCTCTCAATAGCGGTTCTCCATGATAAACAGTATAGGTTTCATTCCATTATGTTTAGATTATGAAGAATTACTTAAAAAACACAAAATAATAACTTCAGTAGATGGTTTTGAGAAGGAAATGGTTCTAAAAAGCACCAGGGGTCTTTGGCTTGTTACAGTAGCAGAACCTACTGAGCAAAGAATGCCTTTTTTAATTAACCGTTCACTGAAAGATCCTTTAGTGAACCAAAAGTCTTATATGGCATCGCTGCAAAAAACCACATTTGGAACCTTTATTTTTAAGAGTGTAGATAGATACTAGATTCTAAATAGAACTAATACAATCAGTAAATAATCTCCCTTTACCTGTAGATCTGGAGTCGCAAGGCACGTTTTATTGCTGTGATTCCTTAAGAGGTCACTCAGAGGTCAAAGGTCAAGCAGCAGGTCAGAGATCGGCCAAGCTTCAGAGCTCCAAATGTAGAAAAGCAGCGTGGACATCCATCAGAGGTACAGAACCTTTCTCGAAGCTCTTCTGAAGATTGTGCCGTGTGCGTCTCCACCAACCTTTCTTGTTTGAGTCCAGCTCTGCAGAGGCCAAACTGAAGCAGTCACGCTTTATGGTTCATAGTTCCCCAGTTTCACTCATTTATGTGGCATCCAGCTCGCATTCTGTTTCACTGAGTTCTTCCCGGTGAGTCTTTGAATCATCTTCTCTCTGATTTACTGTCACATCCCAGTGGCTCTCCAAACAGAAGTGTGTGAGTGTGAACAGAGCAGAAGGAAAATCATCAGTTGCATACAAGTTACAAAAAGATTCATCTACACCTCTCTCTCTCCCTCCCGCCCTCTCTTTTGGTCTAGCACTCTCTGATACCTCCCCCAGAAGCCCACTGTTAATCAACCAGTCCTGAAAACATATTGTCTCTCGCTCCTCAGTATCTCTGCCTCTCTCGCTCCCTGATCTGCAGCACTCAAATTTGCATCCCTGGTTTAACCCCGTCCCTCTTGACTGCTGCAGTTAACATACTCAAAGAGTTTTCAGTGAAACATCTTTCTAAATATAGAAAATACATCAATAAACCCATGGGTTTGATCCAGATGATCATTTTACATATATTTATATTGATTGAATCAAAAATGTGTGGACTTCTGGAACTTTTCACTGTGGCATTATTGAGGTCCTGCCTGAAGGTTTTTCTCGAGTGTCTTTCCAAATACAAAATGGTTTTATAAACAAGTTTTGACAGCACATCAAGGCAAAACAAAGCAGATGTGTTATGTGGCAAAAAAAGACGAAAGCTTTCAGACGCAAAATCATTAATCTTTCACTCTACAGTTGATCATTTTTAAGTTGAAATTTCTGTACCGTAAATCTTTATTTGGCTTGGGATGTTATACAGGACAGACTGTTCTCCTTTTGTTTTCTTTGCTTATTCTGTCATTCATTCTCCCATTCTGTTGTTTGTGTGGTTTTGAACTCATCTCCATTTGACCACAATAAGAATAACATCCCTCTCTTTTTCCTTTTCTTTTCCTCTGACACACACACACACAGGTTTGTTTTTATGGTTTATGGGGACTCTCCATAGGCGTATTTTCTTTTTCCCTACACCAACCCTACCCCTAAACCTACGCCTCACAGGAAACTTTCTGCATTTTTAGATTTTCAAAAAAACTAATTCTGAATTATTTATAAGTCTTTTGAATTACGGGGACACTGAAAATGTCCTCATAAATCACCTTCTTGTTGTAATACCTGTCATACCCATGTTATTATACAAATTTGTGTCCTCATAAACCACATAAACATGCACACACACACACACAAACACAAAATATCTGGATAACTAGTCTGGAGAACATAGGAAAATACCCCAAAAGCCATTTTACACACTGGTCAGACAAGCATATACAAATATTCTGGTTGAAATGAAAGTAACTAAAGTACTACAAAATTATGCAAAATGAAGTCCTCACTGTATTGATAGCATAAAAGACTATTCAGAGCTGACTGTTAGTGTTGGATGGGTTAGTCTGGACCTCAAGATTTAATGCTGCTCTCACCAAACTGACCAAATAATCAAACACAAACAGTAACTCAAAGACTCTTAAAGGAAAAGGCCTGGTGGATGGAGTCATTGCCCTCTAGTGGTTAAAAACGCTAAAAAAGCATATTTTAAATGTTATTTAAATTTATTTTCAAGTTTTATTTAATTAATTTTTTTTATTTAAAACAGTATAGGACCATCAGTTTGATGTTTTTTACACAATGAAAGATATTTCTATATTATATAATATAATATTTATTATAATAAATATTTTTTAAATAATAAAAGTAATAATCATTTATTATAGTACCAATGGGATGAGCATGATGCAAAACTAAAACCTGCGTTCCTTTGCTTTACCACTGCATGACAGCTCTGACTAGTCATTAACAGTTGTACAGGTGGCACAGCGAAAGAGAAATCAGTGCATGACTTTCAGATAAAGGACTGACTTTAATACATTTTCAAGTAAAAGTGTTTACACATGGTATAAAAAAAATAAACGGAGGGAGCCAACAAAGAACCAACGAGACAGAATGCAAGACCAGTCGCTTTCAGATATATCCCATGCGACTTCACATGAGCGATAAGCAAATGTGTGCTAAATCCTTTATAGTGCAATAAAATCAATGCAAAAAGAGATGAAAGGTGAGTAGGAAGAGATCATCTCTGTGTCTAAAGCTTCTTGATTTTACACAATGTACCTATGCTGCTATTTAACTGTGGTTTTAATGACTTTACATTTTCTGGTTTTGACATCATTTGATCAGTCTACAGTTTGAGACAGCCCTGACAGACAGAAGAGGAGAGGAGAAGATCACTTTCCTCTTTTGAAAGACATTGATGCATTTCCCAAATATTAGAAGTCCATGTCTAACCGTCTTAAAGACTGAAACTAGCAAGTAGCAAGTAGAAACTGATGTAAAAATTCAGTCTCTTGGACATGCAAGTGATTTGGTCCGTTGTCCAGGGTATTTGGGATCTGGATCAATCAGACGACAGAGATGAAGATGACAGCGTCCTCATCCTTGGTGGATTGTTTGAGGCTCAGCAAGATAGGACGACAGCAGGCAGCCTCTTCGATATCAGAGATTTTCCCTGAAACACAAGACAAATAGAACAAAGAGAAAGACTTAAAATGATTTTAAATGGTATTGTGCAGTGACAACAAACAAACATCTGTAAGCACGCTGAACAGAAAATGACTCCTTTCAGTTGGTAATTTACACAAATCTGTTTCTGTACAGGAGGGTTATTATAACAATGACACCTCATGATAGCGTACACAAAACAAACAACTTGGATTTCGGAGGGGTTGCATTATATGGAAGGTTCACCCAAAAAAGAAAATAGTTATTTACTCACTGTCATGTTATTCCTAACTTTCTGGTGTGAGGAAATTGCTATTCACTGAATTTTTTGTTTTCCACTGCAGCTCTCAGATATTAAACAGAAAATATTATAAATAAAATATTTTATTTTGGTCTGTTCCACATTTGTATCCATATCTCTTCCATATTTTAAAAGTTTGGAGTTTTTTTAAGTCTCTTATGCTCACCAAGGCTGGATTTATTTGATCAAAATTACAGTAAGAACAGTAACACTGTTAAATACGATTACAATTTAAAATAACCATTTACTATTTTGATATATTTTAAAATGTTATTCATTTTTGTGACGATAAAGCTGAATTTTCAGCACTCCAGTCTTTAGTGTCACATGACCCTTCAGAAAAAAGGAAGAAAAAAAAATTTTTTTGACCTCAAACGTTTGAACGGTAGCGTACTGTATAAAACAAACTTGGAATATCTCACAAACATATTTAAAAGTTTGGAGTTTTTTTAAGTCTCTTATGCTCACCAAGGCTGGATTTATTTGATCAAAATTACAGTAAGAACAGTAACACTGTTAAATACGATTACAATTTAAAATAACCATTTACTATTTTGATATATTTTAAAATGTTATTCATTTTTGTGACGATAAAGCTGAATTTTCAGCACTCCAGTCTTTAGTGTCACATGACCCTTCAGAAAAAAGGAAGAAGAAAAAAAAATTTTTTTGACCTCAAACGTTTGAACGGTAGCGTACTGTATAAAACAAACTTGGAATATCTCACAAACATACGGATGACTTATGATGCTTTGTGTTATTTTTGGAGCTCAGTCTACCCATTCACTTTAATTTTATGGAAAAAGAGCAGCTTGGACATTCTGCCTAACATCTCCATTTGTGTTGAATGGAAGAAAAAAATCTCTCTCTATTTTCATTTTTGGGTGATCTATTCCTTCAACAGAAACATCAGATATATACTTGACTACTCAAACAAACATGAACAGGAGCAACACATACAGGTTGAGGAAGAGCAGGGTTACCTGGAAGCAATGCCTTCCTTCAAAACAAGTTCTTACTTTTCTGTGGACAAGATAGAGAAAAGTGAACAGGTACGCATTTTGGCACCTGTTGCAGCAGGAGACCAAAATGCAAAGTCATGCAGAGAGTGACAAACCACAATTAAACACTCAAGATAACTCTGTTGGACCTGTCATGACATGATTTAACGTGACATTACAAGGTTTGGGGATGGGACAAAGCACCAGACAAGCTTCTTCTGACCAGAGCTGCTGTCTGATAGGTCAGGTAAGCCATCACTGAGGGGGCGGGGCCACTACCACTTACCACATTACGAGTAAACTTTTCAAATGAGGTTCTGCGATCCTGTATGCCTCCCAACTTTATTCAACAAGATGAAGAGTGAAAAAAGGGACTACAGCATGAAGTGTATGTGTTTTTATTAAGTATAATTAATATGCCCATCTATTTGTGTCAATTCAAATGTATCAGATTTAGTCTCCTTCTTCAATTGATGCACCACTAATTCATTTTAAAACATAAGAGAAAAATAGCATTATTATAATCTTAACAAACTATCCCATATCATCCAAATTACACAAAATAACAACAACTTTTTGTTATTTTAGGAAGTGACACATTTTTTAAAGTTGAGCTATTTTTCAATAAGGACCCTAAAAACAGCTCTAATAACATGTTCAATGCAATGTAGATAAAACAAACAAAAATACACTGACTTATTTTCATTTAGCTGAAATATCTCAGTTTTGTATCTTTCATATTTTTCATCAAATACTTTTATATGAGATTAACTGAGATTAATTAAATAATTATTTTATCATGCAATTAATCCAAAGCATTACTGAACGATAACTTCACATACACTACCAGTCAAAAGTTCAGGGTCAGTTAGATAGAATTTAAATTTTTCTAAAGAAATAAATACTTTTATTCAGAGAGAAAGCATAAAATTAATCAAAAGTTCTAGAAAATAACTTAATAAAGTTACAAAAAAATTATATTTCAAATAAATGCTGTTCTTTTGAACTTTCTATTCATTAAAGTATTTGAGCTTTATTTTTTTTCACAAAAATATTAAGCAGCACAACTGTTTTCAACATTGATAATAATAAATGTTTTTTGAGCAACAAATCAGCATATTAGAATGATTTCTGAAGGATCATGTGACACTGAAGTATAGAGTAATAGTTGCTGAAAAATCAGCTTTGCCATCACAGGAATAAATTACAGTTTATAATATATAAAAATAGAAAACAGCTATTATAAATTATAATGAAATTCCACAATATTACTGTTTTTAATGTACTTTCATCAAAAAATGTGGTCTTAGTGGGCATAAGACACATCTTTAAAAAATATTTAA